AATGCCTTGAGCATTTCAGGGCGGATTTCATTTATTCCAGCAGCGTTTTTACATTTCAATCCTTCCACGGCTTGAGCCATTTCATTTACAGAAAAAAAATTTCTGTTCCTTACTACTGCATAGGCTAGTTTTTCTGCGGTTTCTCCGGGTTGAGGAGTTCCTCAAGGCACTCTTCCCCTCGCCGAAGAGTGTCAGTTTTCTCGGTAAGAGAGTGTCTAGATCTGCCCTTTAAGACTCTTAGACAGCTCTTCTTCTCACCTCAGAGCCGGCGGATTTTCAGCCAGAATGCCTTGTTTGCCGTGTAGAAATTCGACTCCTTCACCTCACCGAACTTTTCCCAAATAATTAGTTTAGGCTTTCGCCACTGCTTTTGCTGCCACATCGCATGCGAATAAAATCTTCTTCGATTGGAAGTCATTTTTTGAATGCAGCCTTTTTCTTTAAGTGCCAGTTGTTCCTCTCGTGCCCGCCAAAAAGGCAGCAGAGCAAATCTTTTGAATCCGCAGCGTTCGGCTGCCGCCTAGAGCATGTCGCCCTTACTGAGCTGCCGCTCGGTTTCCACATTAGTGGTCATCACCGAAATTTTTTCAAACCGTGATGCGACGTTGTTAGCAAATTTTGCTCTCGTATCCACCGAAGATAATGTTTCCCGTTTGATTTTCAGGTTACTTCTGCCACCAGATCTTCGTATGGTACTCCATTTCTTACAGCGTAGGGCGCGCCAACAAGAAGGCCGTGATCTGCGCCTCTCTTAACAGGAGCATTTATTACAGAGCTTCGTATGTAATGCGATGCGATTATCAAATCATCAGACGATCCTGTACCTAAGCCCTTCTATACCAGGTATGCTGATGGCACGTCGACGGCAAAAATTGGTGTTCATATGAGAAAGTCCGCTGTTTGCACCACATCGCAACAAATTCATGCCATCAATACTGAGATCGCTAGGACCGTTCTTTCCAATCACTCCTTTCTATTTTTCAGCGTCTACCCTGACAAGCACATTAAAATCGCACATGAGAACGAGGTACTCCGTATTCGCCACTTCGTACAGAACACACCACGCGTCCTCAAGGGAAGAGTCGTATTCTCCCCTAAATTCTGCGCACAGACTTGTAACATGGTCAACGCGTTTGCTCGTTATAGCTTCAGTCGAAGGATTGCCACCCTTCCGCTGACAGGCTTTTACCCGCAGAGGCTCAGGATTTCAAAGTCTTGGCGCTTCGTTGACGAGAGTCCAACAATGTCGAGTTTGTACTTTACGCCGACATCAACTAACTCTTGCTCTTTCACTCTGAATGGGGACATATTCCAATTTCCGACTGTAAGCTCCCATTGGCGGTGTCAGTCTCGTGAAGACTTTCCTAGCGTGCTGCAATGGTATCGCACTGTTTGCCGCATTTGGTGAGAACGGGTAGCGACTCTGTTGCTGATTGGTGTCTTCGTCGTCGTTCGGTCGATCTTCGGCAACTATTGCTGTGCTTCGATGCCCCTTCCCTCCGACTGACAGAATGCGATGAACAATCTCTTATCGCCGACTTTATGCAGCCTGCCTCACTCTGCCTTCAGCCTTCGCGCTCCTTTGTAACCCGTGCGACAACCGAGCCGGTATAATATTCGATGATGGAAATACCATGAGAGTCAGGTGGCTAAATTCTACGGAAACCTCGCCACAGTGTACTGGCCTCCTTTTTCACCCGAGCATCGGTCCAGCAATGACGGAGTTAGCAGGTAAACTGAATTTATAGTTTTGTAATTAACTCTATCGTGAACTGTACAGCTGGTGAAAAAAATAACGGTTGGATTTAGGAATTTGGAGGACTGGTGGAAATGCTTAGAAAGTTTTTAGGGTGTTCCTTCCTCTCTGCCAATGTGCCACCCTCACCATTTGCGAAATGGACGGACTAAGTTTTCCGCTTGCTAGACAACTGTTGCATTTCGTGAAGCATTGTTCGCTGGTTACTCTTTCTTACTATCATTTCGAGTGTCCCTCCAGCCAAATTTCCGTCGAACATATAGCTTGGATTGACTGCGCAACCAAGATGGGATAAATTCGAGGGTGCAACACAGTGCTGAAAAAGATCCTTTTTAGCCTGTTCCTTTACTTTCTAAAGATCAGGCTATCCTCTTCCTGACGCCGA